ACTGTGATGCTCTTTTTTCTGTTTCTATTTGGAACAGCACTTACAACTGTGAAGATAGCTTTCATGATCACCATAAAACATACATTAAATGAGAGCATCCTAGGAGGAAAGAAGAGAAAAAACTGGAGAGTCAAGTGTGAAATGACAGCACCAATGTTTCTGTCCAAGGTTGATTCTCAGATCTTCATTTTTGACCCCCATCTTTCTCCTGGACTCCAGATCCATATACCCAGCTGCCGACTGAACACCTTTACTTGGCTGTCCCATTACAGACTCAATGGGGACAAACCTGTCCTCACTGACCCCTCTGCATTCCCAAACCAACAACTGCTCCTTAATGGTGCCAGTGACAACACAAGGCCTGATGTTGGTGACAACCCCCTCATCCACTATCTTGTCTCTTCTGTCTCTTCAGGTTTTCTTGACTCTGGCCAGTTCCATCCATTGCAAGGCCACTTCTGTGGGGAAAACCTTCATCAGCTACCTGAGATCCCTAACAGATTTTCTCGCCTCTGGTCTATCAGCGATTCTGCCAATCTCACTTCCATTCTGCCATCAGAGACCCTTTCTAAAGTACAGGACTGAATATGCCATTCCCCTGCATGAAAACCTTCTAGAGCTTCCAATTTTCTATAAGATCAAGTCAAAACTCTTTAGCACCAAAGGGTTTTATACCAACTTTTCTCTTCTGTACTCATTTTTAGAGACTTAAATATCATTTTCTTAATGAAGCGGCCTCCAATGAGCTAAAACGAACCACGGCCTTGATAATGTTCCAATGGTATTTTGTACACACCTCCTATGGTAGCAATTTTATTAATACATAAGTATTTCCAAGTTTTTAAAGCACTCTACTCTATGAGTAGAATATATATGCTGAAAAATATGTTTTAGTCAACCGATGTCCCCAGAGCCTAACTGTCAGCACACAGAAGGTGGTTAATAAGTGAGCGAATGGGTAAATGGATGAATGGATTCTGGGGGCATCAACCAAGGCACTGCAGGGGCTGTGTGAATGTTTTGGAAAGCCTGGTCTGTGCAAGGTGCTGCGTGAGGCTCTATGGGAATAGAAAATAGATATAAGAAATATTCCCCAACCATAAGAGTTCTTATAATATATATAAAATATATTATGGATTATATTTGAAGAAATAATATCAATTATAATAATACTTTTCATCTAGATATAGTAATACATTAAATTACATTATCAGATACATAGATGTCAAACTCTCTTTGCATTCCTTAGATGAGTCCCATTTGGTCACAAAGTAGTTTTCAAGATATGTGCTGGATATGATCTGTAAATATTTATTTAGGATTTTTGCAACTATGTTCATAATATAATATTCATATTGTGGATGGTCTTTTTCTGACTTTTGTAGTTCCTCTCTTCTCCCTTAAAAATTTTTTAAAAAGTTCAAAGGGACTATTTTTTTTTTTTATAGGTTTGGCAAGTTACCTGATAAAATATTTGGGTCTGATTTTTTTGGGGGAGGGTGGATTTTAAAAACTTTATTTTTTATTTATTTTCTTTATATAGTTATATTTACATTTTTGTTTCACCTTGAATAGCATTAAGAATTTACATTTTTAAGAAAATGGTTAGTAATGTTGATAGCATTCCTGTAATTCTCAAAAATCTCTGTATGGCAAGAGTTATGCCCGTCTTGGTGTTCTCAATACCACTGTTTGGGAATTCTTCTTTCTTCTTGATTAGATTTGTGTTTTATTAATTTTATTAAAATTTTCAAAGAGCCATCTTTTGGCTTGATTCTCTCAATTTTGGGGGGAGGGTCTTCCTTTTCATTAATTTAAGCCCATCCTTCAAAATCTTCCTTTCTGAGAGAGGTATGGTTAACTCTCCCTCTCTGGTTATGGATTTGTCAGTTTACTATAATTCTTTTGATTACTGCTTCACAGGTTTTGAGGCTATTTATTAGTACACATAGGTTCACAGTTATTCAGTTATTTTACCATTCTTTGGAATTGTTCCTTTTATCATTAAGTAATCAACCCCTTTATCCATAATAACGCCTTTTTTTTTTTTTTTGCCTTAGGATTTAGCCCATCAGATATTAATGCTACAACAGCAGCTTTCTTTAGGTTAATATTTGTCTACTATTTATTTTCTATTCCTTTCACGACCATTTTGTATTTTGAGTGTGAGTCTTGTAAAAATTATGTGGCTGGATTTTAAGTTCTAAGCAGATAATCTGTTTTTATTTTAGCAAACAGATTCATTCTATTTACATATAATTAGATTAATATGTTTGCTCATTTTTATGTACTTATTTTGTGTTTTATATTTACTCTGCTTTTCAAAACCTTTTGCTTCTTTCCTGCCCTCTACTGAGCTGATACATTATTTTTGTTCATCATTGATTATTTGGGATTAAACATTCTGCTTTTCCATTCTTTTAAGGGTCATACTTAAATTTGCAAGTTATCAAAATCTAAAGTGAACATGGATCTGTATTATTTTCAAGTACAATACAAATTCTTAAATTGTTTTAAATCTATTTGCTCATCTTGTCTTAAAACATCCAAATTTAGTCACTATTGTTGCAATTTTTAACCTAAATAGCTTGCTTAGATCTACTCACATGTGATTATTCTGCTTACTGTGGCCTCTGATGTCCCACCCTTGCCCCTTGTGTTCCATTTCTTTCTTCCTGCAAAAGTCTTTGATAGCTATTTCATTAGAATTTAAGAGCAGTAAATTCTCTTTGTGTGCAAGTGCATCTTATTATTATTTTTGTGATTTTCTGTCAGCTTTCTGGAATTTTAATTTTTTAGTTGCTGACAAGTCTGCTGTTGGTTCAACTGTCATTTCGCACAAATGTCTCTTTTCTCTCAGGCGGTTTTACGGTTTCATCCTTGCTGGTGTGCAGTTTCAGCACAAGGCTTCCTGGAGGGAATTTATTTTTCTTCTTCCTGCTTGGGACACATGTCTTTCTTCAATTCCAGGACACCCTCATCACACTCTGTTTAAACACTGCTGCTTTTTTTCCACTTTCTTTCTTTCTGTATCTTCACTCTGGAGTTTCTTTTTTTAAAAAATAGATTTTATTGATTTATTTATTTTAGAGAGAGAGTGCACGAGTAGGGGGAGGGGCAGAGGGAGAGAGAATCTTGAGCAGACTCCGCGCTGGGCGTAGAGCTGGAGGCAGGGCTCAATCTCACGCCCCTGAGATCCCAGCCTGAGCCAGAATCAAGAGTTGGACACTCCACTGACTGAGCCACCCAGGTGCACCTTCACTCTGGAATTTTATTAGGCCTATTCTGTTGTCTTTAAAATACTTACCATTTTCTCTGATTTCTCTATTATCTTGCATTCTCAGAGGTGTGGATTCTCTTGTTACTCTTGTTCACCAATGCTCACTTACAGAGGCTTTTCTCACTGTGTGTTTTGTAATTTTGATTTGGGACTCATCATTGTTCTTTGTTTTGGGGGTCTTGTGGTCTGAGCTGTAGAAATTTCTCTACAGAATTATTTTGGGTGGCTTCAGCCCAGGGGACCCCAGATTGCTAATGTGGGACCAATCATAGCCTGACTGGTTCCATTATATTTTTGAGGTCAATATATTGACTGGGAATTACATTTCCATACAGGTATTAAAATTGAGACCCTAGTCCACCGCACCACAAACATATACTTACAAGGCTAGCTGGGGTTTCAATTTCTCTAATTTTTATGGGCGTTTTCTTCAATCCAGGATACCCTGAGACAATTCTCTTTATTGTCCCTTCTCTGGACCAGAGTTTTTCTTTTTCCCTTTTTCACAGAAGAAGCATCTCTCTGGGGCCCAGCTTCTGTGGGACTCTCAGCTGTAGGTGCCCCCACTTCTCTTGCCCCAAATTCTAAGCACAGGTCGCCCTTTGAGGTATGAGCCCAACTCACCAACCTACTGCTCCGAGCTCATGTCCCCTCCTTGTTTCTGCCTCCAGGGATTTCTTGGATTCTCTTTTAAGCTTGACCAGGTTTCAAAAAAAGTTCATAGATGGTTATATTTTATCCAGGACTTCTATGTGCTTTCTTCGGGCTGGAAGGTCAGTATCAGGTCATTCCACCAAATTGCTATGAGTCTGAAGGTATCAATTTGTACTTGCTTTGTGCCAAACATGTGATAAAGAAAACAAGCCTTGGCATCATTCACAGAAGGGAGAGATCCCTGCTGCTACTCGGGGTTGCTTGACAACAATTCAATGCAAATGTAAAGCCTTCCTCTAAGCTAATTCTTTTTAAAACAAATATCCAGATTTTTTTAAAAGTAATTTTCCTAGTTCTCAGAAGGCTGCAACTCTCTTTAAATCCCTATATTCACACACACAGGCTGAGCGAACACAGAGGGTACCCAGGAAGCACTTGTTAAAGGATCAGATAGAAGTAGCCTCTTGTCTCACTTACACATAAAACTTCAAATACCAGGGAAGCTAAAAGGTGATAAAGGTCATATTATAGTAAGAACCATGATATAGAACCATATTGTTTATGGAGGATTTATCGTTTATATAAATAAATTTATATAAATATAAATATTTATGGTTGATACACTTATAATAGGTAGGTTACATTTCTAATAAGTAGGATACATTTATAGGTTCACTAGAATCAATTTTCCTTTGAGTTTTTTGAAGACACTTAAAGTGTAACACAGCGAAGTTCAGCCCAGGCTACCTCGAACTTAGGCTTTTCAAGCCACCTTGAACTTAAGCTAGGTTTTCTAGAAAGGGTTTGCCTAACTGAGCGTCCCCCTAGTGAGTAGAAGGTGGTTTCAAGGTCAGCAACACCTCATAGGCCTGTTCTGGCACAAAGCTGGCCAAGGCCAAGTTTTCCTGGAGCGGGACGCAGTGCCCGAACCCTGAGTGGCGCACCGGCTCTTGGTGGGATCTAAGTGAAGAATCCGGGCGTGTGACTTTGCTAGGAGAAAAGAGCCGCTAAGTGCAAGCCCAGATTGGATAGCACAAGATCACAGGGGTCTACTTGCTGGACTTACCGTGAGATTTCGACTGAGGGAGACGTCAGTGCCATCTTGCAGATAATGAGTTTCTGTGAAACTGCTAGCGATGAGACCTCTGTGGAAAAGTAAAAACAACAGGAAAAGATGAGTGTAGCATCGTACTGGTATGCTGCTTGGGAGTTTCTAGGCCACAGGGCGGCCAGCATCTGGCCCATCCTCATTTCACAGATGACCCAATGTGGATCCCAAAGGACCTTCCTCCTATTCAGGAAGGAGTCAGGAGACCCAGACAGGGGGATCCAGACGTATGCTCGGAACAACAGCGTCCACACTACACGGGGAGCCCTCCCTCACTCTCTTACCTCATTCCTCCCAAACACTCCCAGGCATGTGTACCCCCAGGAACACAAGCATACATGTGCACACGCAGTGGGAACGTGCACAGAACACACACTCTTCTGCAAATCACACCTGCAGGTTTCCAGGCTGGGGGACTTCACCTGCCTGGCAGTCAGCAGGCTCTCCCATCTAGAATCAATGGCGGCACCACCTGTTGGGAAAATAATTCTGGGTCCACAATATTACACCTGCTGATACCTCCTGGGGTGAGAGAAACAGCTATCGATGGGAACATGTCAAAGAAGAGAAGAAGAGTTCAGAACAACAATGAAATGTTCAAAGCGCTGCTACAGAGGCTGAGGAAAAATGATTTCGGATACACTGAAATATTGAATTTTTAAGATAAATGAAAGAGAAAAAGCTCTCTTTATCCTAACTAAAATTGTATGTGGTCTACTAGATCTTCATCAATGAGAGTAAAGCCTGAGTTCCTTTAGGTTTTCAATTATTTAGCGATTTCTTTTGTAATATGCGTTATTTTATTCTTTTTCAACAGAACTGTGACAAATAGTTCCTGTACACCTACTATGTGCGAGGTGCTGTACTAGCTGTGAGGGTATATCGGTAAATAAGGACACGGTGGCCTGAGGGGGTGACAGAGGAGACACCACCCAGCATGGGGAGGGCTCCCGCAGAGGTAGGCAGTCTCACTGGGTGAACGGAACATGGCAGGGGTGTGCTGCTGAAGGAAGTTTTGCACAGGAAGCCTGACGCTGGAACAGCAGTTGGCCAGACAAAGGAGGGGTGGGAGGAGAAGGGAATTCCAGGTGGGGGACGGCAAGCCAGGAGACCTACGGTCTGAAATCTGGGAAGCCGGGCTGGTGCGAGACGGGGAAGGAAGGGTCCGTATACATGGAGCCTGGGTGGTACCTGCTGGGGCGATGAGGATTGAGAACTGTTGTGTATAATGGACTTTGCAGGAGGTGCGGTGCCTGCCGGTGGGGGTGGGGGGCTGTCTCCCTGCCCCCCAGCCTTCAGAAAATGCACTTCGCCCCATTGGTTGTGTTGGGAGTCACTCCACTTCCCATCCAGAGATAAACCTGGGATCCAAGCGAGCCATTCGGGAACCTTCCCTACAGCATGCCAGAAGTGGGGCCTCTGGGGAGCAGTCTCGCCTCCTTGTTCGCAGAACTCCAGAAATACACTCACTGGGCTTCCCTCAGCCGGGTCCCCTCCTTTCTGAGGACCCTCCCCAGGGGACCAAGCCATCACTCGGCTTTCCAGGTGTGCGGGGGACCGACATTGCCTCTCCCCTTTCCTGGTAAAGCCCTGTCCTTGGGTTCAGTTGGCTTGGGTTAGGTTTTGCAACCAGAGCAAACAGGGAAGAGACAAACGGAAGAGATAGAAGTCGGAAGCTGTGGACGCAACAGATGAGGAACACTTCCTCACAGTCCGTCTCCCCAGCTTCTCTCACAGCCACGCCCAGAACTGAAAGCAATCCCCCTGTTCTACGTGAATTTTGAAATATTTAGGATAGACCCAGCTTCAATGAGTTAAACCTATATAGTGGTCTGATTTGTGCTCTGCTTACCAGTGAATGTTGGAGAAGCGTGTGCCTAAAACACAAAATAGACGATCTCTCACACTCACTGACAAAGGTACATGGATCCTTCTGTACGTCCCCCCCCCCCCCCCCCGCCCCCTACTCTGCACAGATCATGCTGGGTGAGGTTAACCTCCTGCTGCTTTTGGTCTCAAGTCCTCATCCTCTAAGTATCCCTCCTGTGAGCTGTCAGAGGACCCTCTGGACAGGCTCACTGCCAGGGAGACTGCAGCCCTGCTGGGATGGGCAGCGGCAGGTGGGGTAAGTGTGGGAGGCTGGTGGCCTAGACCAGGAGAGCTGTAGGGGAGGCCAAGGGGATGGGGACAGCAAAGGTCAATGAATCTTTCCAGAGGATAGTTCTGAAGGGAAGCAGAGACATGGGGTGTGAAGTCAAGAGGCAGGGGCTTGAGGGGAGAGTGTTATCTAAAGGGATGGGCTGGAGAAATGGGGACAGAGAGGAGGCAGAGCAAAGCCTCGGAAGTCAGAGGGAAGATGCTTAGTGCACAAGGGTGAGCGAGGAGGAGCCAGGCCGGCCTCAGGTAGGGCCTGTAGCAGCCCTAGTGCTCCTGCTGAAGAAGGGGCTTGGTTGGCTCCAAGTCACAGAGAGGGGAGAAAAAGAAAAACATAATATAATTCAAGTTATATTATTAGTACTTACATTGTTTACTGTTTGCTCATCATTTTATTATTCTGCTTACATTGGTTAGTATTTTAGTAATACCACTCTTGACAGTACTAGATCCTTATTTTGAAGGAACCTAATGCTAGGAGGAGTCACACACACAGGAATTTGCAGAGAGGTGATTTTTAATCCAAAGAGATACCATTTTAAGGCTTTCTAACCGAAAGCTGGTTTGAATGGATGTCCAAGGAGAAGACTCACTTCATGTATGAGAGACATGGAAAATCTGCCAGGAAGGCCAGGAATTGGAGAAGATGAGCTTCTCATAGACAACAGTCTATGAAACAGTCTTGCGGACAAGAGGGATTTGGGGGTATAACAGCAGAAAGATTAATTGTAAGGTTTTAAAACGTGACTCTTTACAGTAATACAAAGGCCCACGAACAACTTCTGCCTTTAAAAACCTACTGCTTCATTGCACTACTAGGTATTTATCCAAAGGATACAAATGTAGCGATTCAAAGGGGCACCTGTACCCCAGTGATTACAGCAGCAATGCCCACAATAGCCAAACTGTGGCGAAAGCCCAGATGTCCACCGACAGATGAATGAATAGACAAGATGAGGTGTACATATACAACGGAATATGACTCAGCCATCAAAAAGGATGAAATTTTGCCATTTGCAACGATGTGGATGGAACTAGAAGGTATTATGCTAAGGGAAATAAGCCAGTCAGAGAAAGACAAATACCATATGATTTCACTCATATGTGGAATTTAAGAAACAAAACAGAGGAACATAGAGAAAGGGAAGGAAAAATAAAATAAGATGAAATGGGGGTGGTAAGCCGTAAGAGGTGCTGAACTCCAGGGAACAAACTGAGGGCTGCTGGAGGGGAGATGGGTGGGGGATGGGGTCACTGGGGGACGGGCATGAAGGAGGCACGTGATGGAATGAGTCCTGGGTGTCATATGCAACTGATGAATCATTAAATTGTATTCCTGAAACTAATACCATGTTAACTAAATTGAATTTAAATAAAGAATTTTTAAAAATGCTACTGCATTTCCTTATTGTCCTGATGTCACTTAAACAGAAATACCACCTCAGTTGTACTCTGAGCTCTGAACTGCGTCACTGCAGTTCCCTTTATTGAAAGAGGGAGAGGCTGACTGCTGAGTCATGCCCGAGCATGTCCCCTGAAGCTAGGACAGGGATGACACTCCTTTCTGAGTTTTTCTCATAGAATCTGGGAAAGAAATGGCCTGGAGCGCAGGCGCAGGGACAGCACCGTGGGTGTTAACCTTCTCAAAGGGAGGGCGGCACACAGAACAGACGCTCAGGCTCCACAGGCATGGCCGGCACCCTGAGCTTAGGGGGGCTAGACCGGCTCATGCCTCAGTTTCCCATGAGGGACTGGGATAGGAGATGGAGGGCAGCCAGCTGGCATGGCCTCTGGGGCCCCTCTGCAATGCTCAAGCCATGGGTCTGTGAACCACATGGGGCTCCAGGAACTGGGTGTCCCTGGGCCACACGCTGCACAAAAGGTCCCATCCCACTCTCTATGCTGACCTCCTCTCATCGCCAGACCGTCCACCTCACATTTCCCTCAGGCTGCGAGGAGCTGAGGGCAGTGATGGGCTGGTCCAGATCCCACTTTGGGGTCATGCACTCCCCTGCTTAAAGCCAGAAATGCCTTCCCACTGTGCTTGGAATGAATTCCCCAGCCTTCCATGCTCTCCCAAGTGCTCACAACCTTAAACCTTAACCCCCCAACACACCGTGACTGCTTGTGACTCAGTCTACCCCAGGCTATGCTGTCTCCTGGCATGTTCTAGAACATTTCACACCCTATCCCACTTAGGGCCTTTGTATTTGTCCTGCCCTGTGCCTGGACCATCCTCCACGTGATTGTTCGTGGGGCTGGCTCCTTTTCATCTTTCGGGTATTAGTTCAATGTCTTTGCAGAGCGTCCTTTCCTGATCATCTCCCTGGAAGTGGCCTCCATCCTCACCACTCCCCACATCATAGAACGCCTCTGGTTTCCTTACTTGTCTATGTCTCCCAGTCCAGGCCCTGTGCCAAGCCCTTTATATGCACCTCATTGAATCCTGATAGTGCCTAGTATCTGGCTCTGTGGTTTAGATCCCATTTTTACCCCAATTTAAACAAGGAAACTGAGACACTGGGAGTTTAAGTGACCCACCCAGAAGCACACCTGGTTTTGGTGTGAACCTGCACTCTTAACCACTATGGGGCTCTGTCTTCACAGGCCGCCCTGGAGACGGTGCACTGACCGGCCGCAGGTGCTGGGCTGAGCGCTGGATAAGTGCGTGTCAAGGGGAAAAAGAGACAGGCGACTGGACGGACGGGTGAATGACAGGATTTCAGGAGGATACTGCAGGCAGAGTCTTTTTGCCTTGGGCTACCTCCACTGAACCCAGGTCTTCCATGTTTCATGTCTTTCTTAGTGACCATGACTTGCTGAAGAACCATAGCTGAAACTGAGAATGTGCTCACTCAAGGCTTTCTAAGTTGTGTGTCTAAT